AAAAAAAAAAAAAAAAAAAAAAAATCTCACACACTTCACATCTCTCTCACATTCCACTTCTCTCTATCACACTTACACACATTACCCTGTGCACACACTCAAACACATTACACCGTTTCCCTCTCTCTCTCTCTCTGTCTCACACACACACACACACACACACACAAACTACACTGCGACACACCAAAAAACACACACTATACAACCAGCACACACACTCATACATAAAGACTCACACACCGTTCACGACGGGAACATCCAAGGAGCTGCCGCCGTCGATGGCATCTGCCCGGAAGGGACAGCGTCACCACCGCTTGCCGCCGCACGAGAAGGGCCGCCGTCTCTGCCTATATTTCTTCTTATCCGCCAGTCTCTGCTGCTCGAAGCCATCTCGGTGACGTTGTCGCATCACCTGTACCGTCTGTGCATCTCGTCGGCGCCGCCGAAAAAAAAAACCGAGTTCGACGATGCCTAAATCCACCGCCACTGCCGTCCAGAAGCCCTCCACCGTGTTCTGTATCCCGTCGCCACCACGTATTTCCGTTCATCAGACCAACAAGTATAATTTTGGAGGGAATACACATCAACGTAAATTTGGGGGGCTTGGGGGGATTCAAATTGGAAATTAGATAAGGCATAGGGACTTAGTTGCAATTTAATAGTTTTAAGATATTACAATTTAGGCATTGGGTAAAATCTGTAATTTTTAAAAGTTTGATAATAATATCTAATAGAGAAGCCTTTTTTTTTTTTTTTTTTTTTTTTTNNNGTAGGTGTGTATTTTATTGCTATGTAATGTCATAAGCTTGGTATTGTTAACTATGTAGGGGATCTTCTACAGTCAGGTCCTGGTTGTACCTATCTAACATCAGGTAACCCTCCATTTCACCGTTGGATTGACTAAAATATGACAATGAACGATGGATTGAAGGGTACAAGACAAAAAAGAATTTTGGTAGTCTTGTACTCTGTCTCGTACCCCTCGTACTTGTAAAATCCTATTATACCCTTCGTACCCCTTGTACCTATTTTATTTATTCTCAAGCACCCACATACTTTTGTAAATTACATAACAATCCTACAAATTTAAAACAATTTCATCACAACCTAACATTATATTTTAAGATTCCAATCCGTCTTCTTCATTTGGAAAAAGAAAATGGACAAAACCAAACATTCTTCCACTTCATCTTCTTCCTCATTGTTCTTCTACATACCAAACCGACCAAATCCTTCATCCTCTCCTCATGAGTCAATATCAGAACAGTATTATTACCCAAACATATATTCGAACGATTTACGATCAATATGTAACTTGTCGATAGAATTTTGTATGTAAAGATTGCAATCGCACGCACGATTCATTGAGGTAACTTTCTTTGGAGAGTGAAATATGTTTGGATATTCTTGGCATGCTTATAATACAAAACCCTTGTAGTGGTGTTATTAACATAGGTTGTTTTGGTGAAATTTTTTGCTTGGGCTTCGTATCCTTTTATTGTAATTGATTGTTACGAATAATGATTTGATGTGAGGATGTGGATTTGTTAACTAGCGATTGACTAGTGATATGTTAGTTTTGTTGTATTCTTAAAAGCACATTACGTGTTTGATGTAATGCCTCAGTCGGGAAATGTTGCCATGAGTTTGTGGGGACTAGGGTACAACTGAAAAATAGACGAATTGAATTTGATATAGTATGTGAGGTCTTTTGGGAGTGTGAGAAAAATATTGATCATATCTTACTTCAGTTTAGGGCTGTTAAGTGCTGGAAACAGAATTATTTAAAAGGGCTATGGATGAGTGGATTATGTTTACTTATGTGAGAAATGTTGAAGTACCAAGGCTATATGTTAGGCGGCTGGGGATGAGTCAGAGGTCAGGTGAGAAGAGTGATGATAATGAAAGGAGTTCATGCAAACACAGTAGGTTAGGTTTGGGGAGTTGGACTTTCAGGTATGGGACTTCATTGGAAGTTCAGTGGAGGCCTATACTGTGTGTGCTCTTTGGGTACTCAAATATGCAGCCAATAATAAATGGAAAAAATGTGACCTGCCATATGGACAAACAGGTAAGCTGTCATCTGGTGCTGTGGGAATTTGGAATCATGGGATATGAGAGCTGCAGCTGTGGTTGAATGCAAGTATTTGTGCTCGTCTGTTCATTCTTGTAGTGTTATTTTGATAAGGATATTTGTATAATTTTTGCTTGTTTAGCCAAGATGGCTATGCAAGGAAATTTATAAACTTGTTTCCCATGTCATTTGTAAAGGTGTATGGCTGTTTTGTTTTGTTTTTTGTTTG